TTTATATATAAGATATCTTCTTTTAAAAATGCGCAGGCTCGAAATTGACTTTAGAGCTATGGTCTGGAGGAATTTTTTTCTTAGAATTTTATGAAGAATCCGAATATGCTAGGAACAATGTCGAAAAAAATCGATCCATACAAATTGACCCGCCCTAATGTACATATTGTTCTATTAAAAAACAGCAACTAAAAAATTAAAGAAAATCAAATTTTAAAAAAACATATATATATAATAAATTTCTAAAAATTTAATTACTTTAAAAATATATATGTTTCCGTTAAAGGAAATATGTATGTATATTAGAAAAGAAAAAAATAATTTATTTAAAAAGAAAAAAAAATAAGACCCTAAAAATATAATGAAATTATAAAAATTTCTTTTTATAGCATAGAAATTTTGATACAAAACAGATTTTACTGAAAAGAGGAAAAAGTATCATAAAAAAACAGCAAAAAATATAAGTTTCTGAAAATTAAAAAAAAATTAAATAATAAAATCTAAAAGCTAATTTTAAAAAATTAAAAAAGTGTCTAAAAATTAAGCAAAATTAAGAAAACAAATAGATTTTTCTTTAAAAAAAAATTAATTTAAAAATTAAATATAAATATTAAAAACAATAAGAAAATAAAAAATAATAAATAATACATTTTTCTTTTTTAAACAATAAAAACACAAAATTAAAAGGAAATTAAATTAAAAAAATAAATAAAAAATATAAGCTTCTAAAAATTTTATTAAATAAAAAAAAAATCTAAAAAAAAATTAAATCTAAAAACTAAAATTAAAAAATTAAAAGCAATAACGAACGGAAGTGAGTATGGTAAGATGGCGATTTTTAGCTGAATGAGGGGATACAAATTTACCAGACAGTTGATTTTGAAAATAGGCCCCTCGAATTTTTTCGATCCTCCTCGCACTCGACTCATCATCTAATTCTCGACGCTATCCTCTTTTTTAAATCTTCAGCATGTTCCCGGCTGTTATTGCTGGTCAAAGTGAAGGTGACAAGCACTCGAGTTCTCCTTCTAACGGAGTTGTTTTCTTTACCTTAAACTACAGTTGCTTTCTCAGTTCCTTTCAGTTGCGGCAACTTGGTATTTTCAGGTGGATTTTGGAGCCTTTCCTAAATTCCACTTCATGCAACTTCATCTTTTTTTCGATGCATCGCTGACTAACCGACTTCAGCACACTAAGGAATTTCATTTTTATCGCACAGTTTTGTATATTTTCCAAACTATTTTGATGTCATGAAAGCGAAATACATGCATGCGTCAGTATACAAGCGTCTGTGGCAAGTTGCGACAGTGCCACGCTGCCTCCCATAAACTTTATTTCGGAAACAAAAACACCAACTAAATATTTATTACCTTCACTTTCACCTCCTCACTGATCCAGCGCCTTTTATCACATTTATGTGGAACTACTATAACAGCAAGTGCTCGAGTGTGCCCTCGAAACTTTGCCAAAGCTGAAAAAGAAAGCAACTAAAGGAGCCACTACTTCAACCACCGAATGAAACGAATGTACAAATAACCGCAAACGAATGCAATAAAGTTGATAAAGAAAATGAAATTAGGAAGCAACGAACAAGCCAATCTCCGATGCATTGCATTGATCCAAATCGCTCGTTGAGCCCCACCCAATCCCCCTGTCGGCACTATTTTTTTCCTGCATTTGCAATGCATTGGCTTTCACTTGGCATTGCCAGCAAAGGATAAGAAGGCGGCGACAACTCACGAGCCATGTGGACTATGTACTAGCAACCAAGAGCCAAGTTGCCACAAAGATAGACAGTGCAAAAAAAGAAGAACAAGAAAAAACCGTATGTCGTGCACACCCCTGGGCACTCCATCTCCTGGGTCTTTGTGTTGCAGCACCACGATTGTCCTCGTTCATGGGCTGCCCGCACGCCTGCACGTTTGCACGTTTCGAACGTTTGCAACGTTGCGCATGATTTTGCCTTCAATTGGCGACCGAATGTCTGAATTGGACACTCGAATACAAAAAAAAACAATGCAGAATGCAAAAACGAAAGAAGAATAGCAAAGCGAATTCCTACGTCGACCACAAAATCTTTGCATTTTTCATATGCTCTAACTTGCAACAGCAACAGAAACAACTACAATCAAGTTGAAAGCAGATTCGGATACAAAGGCCAAAGCCGTTGGGTGCTGCCATTGCTGTTGTTGTTGTAGTTGCTGCAACCGATATATTTGTTAGAGCGCAGCGCGGTTGGAAGCGAATTGAGTTACAAACACACAAACGACAGCGCCGATTGCAAATGGCAATTGGCGGGGCGACGATTGCTAAACGTCGACCCTGACACCACGCCATACCGGCTCGAAATGGCCGAGCTGCCATCGCACATAGCCAATGTGTAGCTGGAAAAGTAAAAAACATTCGCACATACATATGTATGTATGTATGTATGTATAGAACTGTGTATGTGCTGCACTTGGCAGCCAGCGTCCGAATGGAGGTCACGCAGCTTTGCCTTTCCCAGCGTCGAAGGATGTGCACGCGGCCGGCCCTCTCCGACCGAGCGGACTTTGCTTTCATGTAAGCTTGACAACTGCCCACCTATGCAGTCCCCATACAATTGCAGGTAAGCTAAGAGAAAAAAAATAAGCCTTGTTGCGGTAAACATGCCACAAATGTTGCCAAACACTGACGGCAATCGAGTGAGTAAAATGTATGCGTGGAAGAGACCAGTGGGCGGCATGACTTGGACACGCAAATCCCATTGAGCATCGCAGTGAAACGAAAAGATAATTCTGCCATTTCCTCTGCTCAGCCTCCTGGGATTCTACTCAATTTTTATTCGAAGAGGTGACCTCTAACAATAGTTAGTTTTAGACCTTGGTCTCACTGCATGTCTTACATAAATATGCGGACTGCAGTTACCATTTTCTCCCATCACCAATGAGCGAAGTTTAAAGATTTTTCTTTGCTTTCTTTTCTGCGTCTGGACAAAATTAGTTGTTTCACCTGCTTCTTGGATAGATTAGATTAGGCTGGCTAGCCAATGCGTAGCTACGCGAACCCATAAAGGTCCTTCGCGTTACTTGGAAAACTAGGACAAAATCACTCGGCTAATCTCTGGAACCAAGAGCAATATGTACAGCCAGCGAAGTCCTTTAGGCTAACTGTAATAATTTGTTTCACCCCTTTTACCCAGCTGCCTTGAACTGCGGGACAAAACCTACCAAGAGACTAAGCCACAGCTTGCTCATTCGTTTCACATATCTCCTGCTAATTTTATCTTTGCTCAGAGCCAACTTAAGAGCATGTGGAACCAACGAGCTCTGCACTATTCGTGCACCAACTAGTAGCCCAGCATCCTCTCTCTCAATGGATATAAGAAACTTTGTCAGCTTGTGATCTTATGCTCTGCACATAATTCTAAACACCTTGCAGCTGGATTTTTTGGTCCAAACCTTCTCTGCCTGCAGGATCGTAAACAGGTCGCTTAAGGGCCTATGGTGCAATCGGTGCATTTTCCTCTGGCTCCATTTTCGAAAGGGCACCTCCATTGACCGGTGTATCTCAATCCAGGCGTGTCATTTAGAGATGACCACCCCGTACTCTACCAAACTTTTTGATAGTGTTTTTTCCGAGAACCACGGATATCTTCGTATCGCGATTTTCGCCTTTTACTAGAAACTAAACTTTTTAAACAAAGTTCATCCAGCTCTGCATATGTGGTGAGACGCTTTTTCCTGATTATTAAAATCAAAATATGCATTTAGATATGTATGTATGAAAATAAACTTTAAAGTGAAGTTCAAATAACCATATTCATGTGGAATATCCGTTTGTCCAATTAAAATTTAAAAGCACTTCAGAGAAATGAGGACTCCAACCGCTGACGCAAACGTGCCAACTCACTCATTCCCATTTCACTCTTCCGGCCAAGGTTAAGTGCTTGCTGGCATTTATTATTTATGCCTCTCCGGCATTTCATAAAGAGTTGTTTTCGGCCTTACTTTTTCATTTTTCCTTACACTATATATGTATGTGTATACCGAAAAATTGCAATGTGATGGTCATGTTGCAACTCAAGTGTGGACGCAGCCTTCCACTGCATACGGAGAGACCTTTTTCAGCAAATCATGCAAATCTCACAAAGGACTCAACTAGAGCATTTCGGTGTAATTTGCTTTATTTGCTGTTTGCTTCTTTTTCTTCTTTTTGTCGTTAGTACTTCGTCGTATGCTGCTTGAGCGCCTAGGCTGGCCTATGCGCCTATATGTGTGTATGCCAAAGTAATGGCGCCATATAGGGGCCGCGTGCTACTTACTCGTACTGCAGTGACATTTGGAAGCACTCCAAAAAATAATAAAAAATAAAAATAATAAAAATGTGTGAAAATAGTTACTGCCGCCGGTGCAGGCGAAATGGCGCTAAATGTGCTGCACTCGTACGCACACAATCAAACGTCAAGCAACAAATACGTGCGCCTGCTAGTTAGACAAATGGAAAAACATTCTCTCCCCCATAGTCGCACAAACGCACCTTGACACCAATTGGCGCCAGGCAGCAGACAGTTTTTGCGCGCGCGACACTTTTTCTACTTATTTTTAACACTTATTTCTTTCTGTTTGCTTTTGTGCGTATGCGTGTGCGTGTGATATTTCAATTTGCGAACAAATAGTTGCGTCCACCACTCACTCGCCCCTCGCCAGTGCTTTTTTTTTGTGGCAAAAACTTAACTGTACCAGCAGCAAAGTGAGATAGCGTTGAAGATTTCAATGTGTTGTTGCTTTTATATTCTCTTCTGATACTACTTACTGATGGCAGCCCAAATCGCACCAATGTCATTTGTTTTTTTTTTTTTTTTTTTCTCACAGAACAGCTGGCAGTCGTCTGTCTGGCATTCGAGGACAAAACATTTCACTTTTCCATACATTCAATAGTTTTTCTGAAATCAGGAAATTTACATATTTTAAATTTTCTCTTGAAAACCTTAGGAGGCGAAGGGGAGTGGAAAAAGGGGGATGTTAATACCTGAGTGTCGATTACGAGCCGAGAAACGTCCCTTATCTTTTGGAGACTGCAGTAAGTAGTTGCGATGGTGACTCTGTGGCATAAATACCTGCGTGGATAATTGTAAATTTCTCAATTTTTCTTCTATGAGGTTGGTTCGATGTTCAAAGTTTTTTGTTGCGTACTGACCCCGTCAGATCCCGCCCGGTGAGTCCGTTTTGTGTTATGTCACATATAGAAGTCGCTTACAAATAGAAGACCCATGTATGGTTCATGCTGTATTAAATTAAGGAACCTCAAATTTCGTCACATAAAAGACTTTACAAATTTAAGTAAACGTAGTGGTTTATTATCGCTTGCCCAGAAACTTCATTCTGCTGCTACAGACGGCAGGACAGCTACGGAAAATATGTTCTACTGTTTTTTTCCGCTTCCGGTGAGTTGCAGCTACGATGGGAAATATTATGTGCCAGTCTCTTCCACATTTTATTTGGGATTTTTATCTGGTGCCAAGAAATCTGTCATAAAAGACTTGTTTCCCCTATAATATCCAGGGCCAACCCGTCCTGAGCCACCTCGTTTGGCAATTCATTGGCAATAAATTAACGCATTACAAAATGGCGCTGTAGGGTTAACTCGTTCTTCTGTACTTAGTCTTCTATTTAGCTTTGGCGTAAGTAGCACTGCCCAGTATTTACTTGAATGGTCGAGCTTAGAGTGGATCGTTATCCTTCCAACCTCTCTTCGAAGTATAGGGGACCTCAGCAAAAGCAGAAATCCCGTCTAGATTCCCACTCGCAGCTAGATGTTACCATATACAGCGTGAGAATCTTTGGCTATAACGTTGTGTGACAATTCCCTCCTTAAAGATCTACAGAAAATGCTGACTCAAATGGCCCACCATTTTTTCAAATCATCTGTGTTTCGATACAAGGTGAATTCGTCCTTCTAGAGCGAAAATACTTCTATCGAATTTATTTTGGAACGAGTTTCCGTCGGACCTTGTCAAATTTGGTTTGGAGGCAAACTGGTATCGGCGATGTGTCATCTTCAGTGTCATGTTTAGCTCGGAGAACTCATTCCAAAATACATCATATACAAACCCTGTTGGAAACAACAACAACCAAAAAGAAAATACTCCTATTTACTTGATTGTTTTGTAATTATTAAATTTTCCTAAATTTTTTTATGCTACAAAATTTTTTTCTGTATAATAAAGAACCGGCGATGATATCAACTTTTATTTTAAATACCTTCAAGGAAAGTATGGAACGTTTCCTTCGCCATGCATTCCATGGACAGCGAGGAGGAAAGTTGTTCACTAATGGCATCGTATGTCAAATGCGAAATTAACTGTCCAAAGCAAGGGAAATTTTTCCATGCTTCTTAGAAAACTGTACAGCATGCATGGAGGAATGCTTCCCCTTTCCTACAGGGCATGAACATCAACTCAATATTTTCAGGTTTTTATGAGTACTTCAACTCTGATTACAAATAAATGTATGTATAAAAATATGCCAGGCGGATATCGGCTATTCATATATACATTGAATGCGATTGAAATAACAAAAACAAAAAAAAAACACGCTTGAGCGCATTTCAACTTAAATATCAGCCAAATAAAAAACGCTTTATTGCAGCGTATATCCATATTGGGATTTCGCAATAAAAATCGATTAATATCATTTTTTTTAACGACCGGCAATTAAAGCTTGAATGGAGCGCATAGAAGATTCTTGATATTTGTGCATATAACCTCATTAATTTGATTCATAACTTATTATGATTTTTCTCTTTCTGTTGTTCTTCCCCGTTTCAGGTGCCATTTGTGGCGGCAATTGCTGTACGAACTCAACGGAATCGGAGCTGAGGCAGAAGTCTACAGCCGAATTTGAGCGATTGTTGCATCATCACACCAAAAGTCTACGCGGCATACTCGTCTCCACGGCGAATTTATTTCAAAGTGAGTGAATTTTTATTTCAATGATAAGTAAATTGTTTTATAAAAACATATGAAATATTTTTTTTTTTTTGCCGAATTTAAATTCCTGTCAGCTCTATTGTGCGTGCCGCCGCCGCCGTTTTTATGCACTCGAATTATAACCAACACACAAAAAAAACTGGCACATTCACACACACCTACATACATAAATGGTGAATAGAAAGCAGGCAAAAAAAAAACAGTGAAGCTTTTTATTCTCTATGCAAATATTTTTCGCAAAATTCTGGGCAATAAATCAATTCAGCCAATGCCAGCAGAACGTAAAGTTATGACTTCCTTTCCTGTGTATATTCGCGAGTTGGGCAGCGCACAGCGCACTGCTACGCCCCCTCCACCTTTGTAGCTTCTTCTTCAGTCACTATTCGCTCTGCAGTTTACATTGAAGCGCTGGCAAAAAAAAAAAATTCCTTAAAATTTATTCAATGTTCGCACTTGCCATACAAATTCATATAATTATGCTAATTTTTTGCCTGGGGTTTTTGTTGGTTTTTTTTTTTCTCATTTATTTTTTGTTGCAAAAATATTAAATCATAATATATTTATTATGGTAATGTATAGCACAAACAAAACACTGTACTAACTATGTATGTATGTGAAATATTCGAATTTTATTTTCTACTTAAAAAAGCGTTATGAAGCGAATTGCAACGCTTTGCTTGGTTTGTGATTTGAATGAATAAAAAGTTCGTAAGTATTCATTGCGATCTGATTTGATGAATTGGAATTTTTGATGCACTCAGCGCGCGTAGCCAGACAGCAATTGAATGTTTACAGCATTTTATCTGGGTTATCATAGCCGTTAACATTTTACTTATGAATGCGGAACAACATGCCTTGTGTACATATCTATATACGTACATATGTACATACTCAGATTGTAGACGCATTAATTCCGTAAACAATTTAGGTCTTGAATTGGCAATAAAACAATCATTAGGGGTATTAAAAACCATTTTGGAATACAAAAGAAGATTGCTCACTGATAATCGAAATTCGGGTACTTGGGATAATGAATTGCAAAATGATAAAGAAATGAGGAAAAAAGGGCAGAAATGCAGGTTGAATTATATGTATATTTAAAAGCTATTTTTGATGGATTTTACTCAGAATATTGTAATACTATTTCTTAAATTATTTAATATTATCAAAAGAATAAGCATATTTTAAAAAGATTTATTACAATGAGCGATTTTCAGCACAAATCTTTAACTTCTGCCAAGGCTAATATTTAAAAAAAATATCTCAGTAATCTTCAGTATAATCAGTATTAGACTACGTCAAATATAACGACAACGTTTCACTTTTCAGTTAGCGCTCGCAAAAATAAGAATTTTTAATGAAAACGATTTTTTCCGCAATTTTTTTTTTTAATAAACTACTAAATAACACAAATAAAAATAAACAATCTTATAGCCCATTCAATTCTAATGTAATAAGTGCCAGTTTGAAGTAGCAAGAACTTGCCGTTGATTTTTGCCAAATTTTTTTTTGTTTAATGTTTCATTCAATTTTTTCCAGGAACCGAGAACGCGTTCCAGTTTTTATTTAGTTCTGCATGAGAACAAATTGTAATGTCAAGAAGGTTCCCACAAAAAAACCAAAGGGTAACAAAAGTATTGAGAAGCAGTTTGAACGGGAACAAAATGAGAGCTAAAGATTTGGGACAGTTTCCGTAAAGAACAGAATGAGAACGAAATTTTCAGAAATGTTTCCAATGAGAACAAAGTGAGAACGAAAGTAACGAGATCGTTGTCACGGAAGATCAAATAAGAACAAAAGTCCGGGGGAAACGTTCTGCTAGAGAAGAAAACGAGAACAAATTTTTTGAAAACTTAACGTTAAGAATGAGAGGTGAGTCTGTATGTTTGGATGAAAAATCGTTTCAGTGAGAACCTGCTAATTCTAAGACAGAGGAAGTCTGAGTCATTTGATCCCCAAGATCGTTTATCAGTAGGGTGAACTGTCCATTTATAGAACAAAATTTTATTTTTTTATGCAAGAAAAGTTCGTGTCGTAAATTTTTCGTTGACTTAATTTGCATAAATATCTTTCAGTCCTTTTTTGATTAGTTTTACTATTCTAAATTTTCAAACTAAAGAAAGCTCACCTCCATTCTACATGAATAGTTCAGAGAAGATTTGTTCCCGTTTCGTTCTGTCAGAAAGTTCCTGAGACTTTAGTTCCCAAATTGTTCTTCGAGAGAAATTTCCTTAGACTTTTGTCCCCGTTTAGTTCTATTCCAAAAAGTTGCGGAGACTTTTCTACACATTTCGTTCACTTATAAATGTTTCCGAAAGTATTGTTCGCATTTTGTTGTTCTCTTTGGAAAAATTCCACAGGGTTTTGTTCTTATAAAAAAATTCCCATTGAGGGTGTGAAAAAAATTTAAACTACATGTATTTTTTTTTGTTAAAAAGTGGTATTTAGAACTGCCCTAAGGCCTACGAAGTTGTCAATGTATTTTGTAAGGGGAAAAACACTTTTTTCGTAGAAGTGGTACATATATAATTCTTGAAAAGTTCAAGTGACATACACAAATCTGATAACACTATAGTGGCCATACTGACCTAAGGGAAAAAGGTAAAGAAAAAAATGGAAAGAACAAAATGCTAGAATCTATATATGGGATCCAATCAGTGAGTTTCCAAATTTTATCTTGTTATAAGTTTATATATGTACATATATGGTAGTGCATACATATGTACATGCCTATATGAATATTTACATAAATAAATTTTTCTCGGTACTCAAGGATATATGTATTATTGTACTTTTCTCTTGATTAAATAAATGCAGCATACATACATACAGACAGACACATTTACGTACGGTCATATGTAAATACATAAATAAATGTACATATATATATCGTATTCCTGCATAGCATTTGTATAATATTATATCTGGCATTTTTTAAGTCATCCATTGTTTACGAAGATTTGTTACAAAATGCTTTGTCAGCCAGTAGTTCTTCGAATAATGAGGCATCCGCCCAGAAATTCTAAGAATAAACCAGCTGTTGTTCGCTTCAATTCCGTCTTATTGAGCTTTGAGAGTCACTTTGCTTTTGGCCCATATTTACTTTCACGAGTACAAACATAATATGTGTTCATATGGAAAAGTAGCTTATGTCGAAAGGCTGGCTTTAGTATAAATCAGCATTCGCAGCATACGATTGCGAATGACTCACTGGCGCTAAGCCGTTGAACAACTTTTGGCAAATAAACGTGGAAGAAATAGTTCCGATACTAGCAAGTCAATATTCTTATTAAGTCTCATCAAAAAATTCCTTGCCGTTCCATACGAACACAGATATGCATGTATGGATGTAAGTATGTATGTATGTACATAATAATTAATTGAAATAATTTAATTGGGTTATTTTACTAGATTTTCCATGTTTAAATATTTATTTGCTTCTTATAAAGGCAGAACAGCTCATTACAGTGCTTCATTAAATTCCTCTATTGTTGATGGCAGCTTAAGTAGCGTTAAGCATTTTTTGTTGTCCGAAAATAAAAGTAATATTTGACTTATCTACTAAGTATTATTGGCCTTCTCTTATTTAATATCCCATGTGCTACTTACTGCCCACTGTCGGTGAGTTGCATACATATGAACAAATAATCACATTACTGCTCTTCCAATTATCACTTGCTGATGTGTACATATTAGAGTTGGGCACTTTAGTTCTTTGGAGTGAACCGTTCACTTTTAGTTCGTTCACATTACTGATTCTTTAGTTCATATAGTTCATTTAGTTCAATTGGCGAATACATTTACATATCGGCAACTGAGTGGAAGATCGACCTATATCGACCGGAATACTTTTCAAGAACACCCTATTTCAGAACTCGGCTCAAAAATGGCCTATCTCAGCCGCCGATTCAAAAACGCTCTATCTCAACATATTTTCAGTTTTTTTCAGTTGGTATAGGTCGTTCGTAAACCAAATTCTGAGATAGGGCGTTCTTCAAACATTCTTCAATAGGGTATTTTTCAATCAAATTCTAAAATAGGACGTTCTTGAAAAGTTTTCTGAGATAGGGCGCTTTGGAACTGGCTGCCGAGATATATACATAGGTCGATCTTCCACTCAGGTGTAGGTAAACTATTCGGTTACTTTTACTATCATACATAACACATCCAAAAGAAAAATTTTGGTAACTTGAATTTACATACATAAAAAACGTACGTAAATATTTTTTCGTATAAATAAAAATACAAATAATAGAGATGAACTAGTTCTTTAGTTCATTTAGTTCAAGAACATCCAAGCCTAGTATGCTTCTAGCATCGCACTCGTAGACGACAATGAAATCTCCATTTTCATTTATTGCCAACTTTGCTATTTTTGGTAAATGTCTTCTATTCTATTTCTATACGAAATGTGCATACATACATACATACATACATATATTTGCGTACCGTTGAATAGATTGTCGTGCTTCAACTATAATCATCTCCTCAGATGATGTCATTCTCAAATAAATTAATTAATGGAATTGGAAACTGATTGATGCTTTAAATAGCTATACACATATGTATGTGCATACATGCATATTTACATTAGGGTGCATCAGCAAAAAAGTTGCCGTTTTTGCATCGGTATTATAAAACTTATTATATTTTAAGACAAAATATTTCGGAAAAATACTAAGAATAACGTGAGATGAATCGATTCGAAAATGCCTCCAAAAATTGCATTAGTTTGTTTCCGGTGATACAAATTTTTAAACATTTTCATGCAGAACTATTAAGTTTAAGTTCTTCTATCATCTGTGGTGATTTTTAAGAAAACAAATCTTTAAATATTAATTTTATTTATAAAAAACTTTATTTTTGGAAGTATTTTGAGATGGCTCCAGCTCACGTAAATCTTAATATTTCTCCAAAATATTTTAGCTGAAGTCTTAAAATTTAATAGATTGTATAATTTCGATGAAAAAAAAATACAAATT